AAGTTAGCTTGAAATCTTTATGAAAACGACATCATTAATGTAAATCCAATAGTTATTGATAACCGATTTAACATTGATGTTGCTGCTTAGATTTATTAAAGAATCAACTTATTTTCCCCTCTCAGATGTTGTTGGTTAGTTCGTTGGGCAGTTTCAATTTATATTTGACTCTATGTGTTTTCTGTACAAAACTGGTCAAGAAAAGCTATTTTTCATATGTTTAAAGTAAAAAAATACCATATTGTTCTTTATTTTCTTCTTTAATGAAAATAAGATGCTTTAAACTCACAGAAAAATTAATTCTATACTATTTTATTTTTAAAATACAATCATTAAAATTGAAAAAATAAAAATAAAAAATTTCTAACTAACGAGGGAGAATTCCTGTAATAACTTTTTACATACGTGACTACTTTTGAACTGTAATATAATATAGACCATCTATGTATATATATATATATATTTGACCGTATGTATGTGTTTGACCGTATGTTTGTTTTCAATTATATGTATCTATATGTTAACACAAGTTACATAAGAAAAATTTGAAAGAATAATAACATTAAAAATACTTCTAAATGTATGTTGTGTTTAATATGAAATTTTTGATATCCTTTTTAATAGTAAATATACAAATATGATGTATGTTAATACATGGAGTATGACGACATATATAATGTATCAATGTATGTATGTATTCTTTTATAAACAATAAACAATGTATATGGTTTAATATATATCAATTTATATGTTGCATAATTTTATAACACAAAATTCATACATATAATATTAGGATAATTTTTATACATATAATATTGCATAGTTTTATAACATAAAACTTATACATACAATATTCGTTTCTTTTTTCGGTTTTTATACCTTTTTCGGGGTATAATATTAGGATAATTTGAGAGGGAAACGAACTTTCGATTTTGTTCACATTTAATCACTAAACATTTTTCATTATCTGTTTGCCACTTAACTATTGAAACTGTTTAGCAAACTTCATTATTGTCTGTATCTATGCTCCTGAGGTATGTATAATGCATGTGTTTCATTATAAGGTTAAATAAAAGGAAATAGCATCATACTTTTATTTCTTTATTAAAGCATTCCGGTTTCATTTCCTCATTTTTTGAAGTATAATGTATAATTGTGTAAATTTTTTGAAGTATAATGTTGTAATAAGATAGAATTTTCAAGGTATGAGGACTTAATAAGAACATAAATAGGAAGTATAATCTTGTAATGGAAAGAAAATGAAAGTAGGATGCTATTATACACAAATAAGTGAATGATGTTGCTATTTCCTATAACAATTTAGCCCTTCATTATATTTTGAAAAAGAAACAACTTCCATACGCATCTGTTAAAATTGTAACAATTTTCATCGATATTCTATGAAAACGGAAACATGGGCAGTTTTGATATTACATTTACCCATATTGCCCTTTGTTATCTTTTCAAAGTTAGATACAGTTTAATCAAATATTGCTTTTTTCATTGAAGAAATGGTTAATATTATAAAAGACCTTATATATTGTGTTTTTTCCTAATTAAAGCTCAACTTTATTTTTTTTTTCATGAACAGACCTTGCAATTTTCCATTTTTTCGATTTGGCCCTTTTGGCAATTTTTTTCCGACAAAAACTATCAAACATCTGGTTTTTTCGGAAAAAATGAAAAAATTCAAGGTCTTTCTCAGGAAAAAAAAGTTGAGGTTTCATCCCAAAAAAAGAATCAATTTATAATGTCTTTTATGATATTGACCCTTGAAGAAATATAGTGCATATTATTTTACCTTGATATAAATAAATACAAGACTTAAATGAAATTCATTTATTTGTTTATTATAGAATCATAATTTAAGTTTTCTCTTATTAGATAATCGTACTTGAAATATCACTGCTATAAATGGTTAGATTTTGCAAAATACAATGTCCAAAAAAACATTAGTACAATGTCTAATTCAATAATAAAAAGTCGAAAAGTAGAATATTGTAAATGAAATAAATGAACTAGGATGTTATAATAAACAAATACATGAAAGTTAAAGTAGTTAGCTAAGTCTTGCATTTAATTTTTGTTTTCTTATACAATTTTGTTTTAGGGGGATTTTAATTTTATAGGTGTATCCAACAAACTTAAGGGCAACGGGAATGGGAATAACTACAGCAATAGGCAGAATATGGGGGAATGGTGTGTCCTTTAATAGCAGTTGGGATGAGTAGTAATTGTCACCAAACACTCCCTGTTATCCTCTTTGAGGTTACAATTCTTCTATCGGGACTTTGTGTTGTGTTGCTTCCATTTGAGACCAAAGGGAGGGAATTAGTAGACGTTATAGATTTGCATGTTCAAAATGTGCAAGTAGATTAAATTTATTTATTTGAAAATTAATTTCATTTACATCCAATAATCAACTTTAAATAAAATCAATCACATTTTGAATATCTTAGGTAGCTTTATCGACACGGTTGTTTTATCTTAAAGTTGTATTGGTACTTGGTAGTCCTGTTTAAAGCGTCTTTTTCAATGATTTGATTTCATGTTTCTTTGTATGCAGATATTTATGAATGTCTAGTATGGTTTCCTTAAGAGGTAGAAAAGGACGAAAATCGCCGATTAAAATGTTGTTATTGGTGTTGGTGGACAATGATGTAGCTAAGGTGATGGCTTATGGTGGTGATGGAGGCAGAGAGTTATGGGTGGGAGCATGTTAGGGTTTAATTTACGTGGAGTTTGGTATGCAGTAATTAAACAGATATTAGAATGGAACATTATCGTGGAATGAAAAATTGTTCAATTGTCATAAATAATGGAAAGGATATTGACACAAAAGCCTTTAAGTTTGTCCATTTTTTACTGTTTTACCCCAATATGGTGTTTTTCCTTTCCACAGAGAATGGTGTTAATATAAAGCAGCTAAACATATGAACCCAAATAATATGAAAACGTGAATATCATATTAATATAAAAATGAATTAATAAATAATTTTTTTAGAAAAAACAAGTAAAGTACCATAAAGTAGAATAGAATGGTTGATCGGTAACATGACACGATAAAAATATATGATGTGAAATGAAATTGGGAAGAAATTGAAATTCAAATATGTGTTTGTAACTTATTTATGCGTAAAAAGCACGACATTGTGTCTTGTCGTGTTCATATTTAAAATTTGATACGAAATTGACATGATTAGCATATGTTTTTCATGTTATATATGATTAAGTATGAATTAAATAAGCTATTAATTGTATTATGATATCTTTGTCGTTTCGTCTTGTGTTTGTCGTATTTTAATCGACCGTTTATCGTGTTAATGAAAATAAACTAACATTGTGTCGTGCCGTGTCGTATAAAACATTGATGTGTCGTATCGTATTAGACAAAAACACAACACGATAGTCTGATCTAACATCCTGCCAAAAAGTTAAAATAAATAAACAAATAAATGTAAAATTGCAAAATATTTCGTTTGGGACCTAAACTAATAATAATTATTATAATGATTATACGCTTAGATTATTGACCATTTGAAACCGAAAATATAAAAACTCAAATTTGAATTTAACTTTAAATAGAACCCGGTAAGAATTTCTAAGATGTGGACATACTTATGAGTTCCTATAAAATAAACAAAGAAAATTAGTGAACCAATTTAGCCTTGTTTTTTTTACTTTATACCGAGTTGTGTCAAACCATGTTTAACTTAGGTTTAGTTGGGCAATAAGATGGTTACAAACAAATGAGTAAATTACTGAAATTGTCTCTGTGGTTTGGTCAAAATTGCACGTTTAGTTCCTAAAAATTTTTTTTGCATTCGGATCGTCCTTATGATTTGATTTTGTTGTATTTTTTTGTCCCTGTGGTTTCATTTTGTTGCATTTTTCGTCCCTTACATACATAAAGTTAGGGACCAAACATGCAATTTTTATCAAACCATAGGGATGAAAAACGCAACAAAATCAAACCACAAGAACGCTCCGAGTGCAAAAAAGAAATAGGGACCAAACGTTCAATTTTGACCAAACCACAGGGACGATTTCAGTAATTTACTCCAAACAAATAAAGAAAATGACATATAAACCGTAAAATTTACAGTTAGCGGATTTAGGCTTTATAAGTACTCATGTTGTAATTATTTGGTGAATACAATGTTATAATTAACACTTCACTAATACACATATTTATTATATTTATTTATTACACATATTTAACTAATGTATTTAGTACTGTATCTATGTCATCACTGAAGGCCAAAGGCCCTTTTGGTACAAATTTTGGAGTATTTAAACTAAAAAGACCATGTTGGTATTTGATCATTTACCATTGTGAAACACCAACCAAAGCTTATGATACAAATTGAGAAAAATATCATCATTTACCTCTTTGTCATTCTGATACAAGATCTATACACAGAAATTACCTTACGAAATTCAATATAGATTAAAATGAAGTATTAGTATTATAAGAGGCTCGAAGGAATGAGTGTGCTAAATTGGTATAATATTTCTATCATCAATTTAAGATTACCAAATTTCCTCCGATTGTACCAAAAGGGCCTTTTACATAAGCATTCCACTTTCATATATTCCTATTACAACATTCGTAAAAATCTATCCTATTACAACAATGTCATCTCATCCACATATAAAACAATTTTAACTGCTATATTGAGGTTGATTTCTCATTAATGGCAAAAAAATCAAATATACAAATGCCCTTACCACAAAAAAACTAGGATTTTATAATACATAAATAAATAAAAGTGTGTTGCTATTTCTTACATTTACCCTAATTTCATACAACATAGAAGTTCTATATCTATAAGGAAAAAAACAAATCATTTAATACAACCGCATCAAAATTTACATCTTCTTCCTGAAATTAACAAACAGATTATTAGCTAAAACACATATAATTCCCACTTTCTATCAGTAAGCATATACAAACCTTCAAATTCTCCGGTCGCCGGAAAACCATAAACCGCCAACCCTCAACCCATCTCCGCCACCCGTGCCGCCAATCGACTAATTTCATCTCTAGAAACACGCGGATCAACCTCCCGAAGATTATTAACAAATAAAACCGCATCATCCCTCCTATGAAACTTACAATACCAATCAATAACAGAATTATACGTGCTTTCATTCGGTTTACATCCGTTTTTAATCATATATTTAATCACATCAATCGCCTCCAAAAACCGTTCATTCGAAGCATAACTCGCAACAAAAGTATTATAAGTAATAACATCCGGAACCACACCCGATTTCGTCATTTCCGATAATACCCTTGATGCATCTTTCATTTTCCCATTCCTACAATACCCATAAATCACCGTGTTATACGAAATAACATCCGGTTTTACCCCTTTCCGTAAAATATCCCGCAAAATTTCCTCCGATTTTGTAAAATCCGAAGATCGACTATACATATACATCAACGAATTATACGTCGTTAAATTCGGTGAAAATCCCGATTCTTCCATCACCGCCATGATCCCGCTAGCTTCCACCGCCATCTGCCGCCTCCCGTAGATCGAAACCATCGCGTTTAAAGTGTTTATATCGTACGAAAACCCTCGGTTTTTCATCTCCTCAAAAGCCCTAGCGGTTTCCGGCAACAAATCCGATTTACTATTCACCAAAACAAGAGTCTTTAACAACACTGCGTGCGGCTCAATCTCACCGGAATATACTTTTCCGGCGAGATCCCGCATTTTTTCAATCTCTTTTCCGTTTGCATACGCGTGAAGCAACGAACTATAACTACATTCGTTAGGTTTACACCTCCCGGATTCCATTTCTTCTAGAATCTTCTCCGACTGCCGCCAAAGCCCGCCACGAGCCAAGGCGGCTAACACCGCGTTGTAGGTCGATAAATCAGGAGTGATTTTAGCTTCTAACATACTTTTATAAACATTAATCGATTGATCCAACGACCCACATCGACTATACGCGCTTATCAAAGTATTGAAAGTGTCCCTTTCGGGTATAAAACCCGCCCGTTTCATTTCCTTGAATACTCCGGAAACTTCTAGATCCATTCCATTTTGTCCAAAAACCGCTAAAAGCGTGTTCCATGTCACGATATCGGGAACACAACCGCAGTGTTTTATGTCCTCCACGACCTTCATCATGTCCGAGAACCGCCCACGGTTCCCGTGCATCTTTATAAGCGCGTTAAAAGTACAGATATTCGGTTTACACCCCGAACTTATCATTTCGTCAAAAACGCCCCTCGCAAATTCGTCTTTTCCGGCTTTTTCAAACCCAGAAAACAAAGTCGTGTAGGTGAAGACATCGGGTTTTATCCCGTTTTGGGACATTTGATCTTTTAATTCCATGGCTTCTTTGAATAACCCGTCTTTTGCGTAACAAGAAATTAAAGAATTATATGTGACAATGCTTGGGGAAAACCCGTGAAATTCCATCTCGTGCAACACGTTCATTGCTTCATTGGGTTTGCGGGATTTCGCGTATACATCTAATAATGTGTTGTAAGTTACGTAATCGGGACTAAATCCTGCGGATTTCATTTCTTTGAAGATTTTTTCAGCTTCTTCATGTAAAGATCCGCGTTTACAGCAGCTTATGAGAGTGTTATAAGTATACGAATCTGGAGAAACCCCGGAATTCTTCATATCATTGAAGATTGATTCGATTTTGTTCCATGGCATCCCCATTTTGCCATAAACGTTGAGAATCACGTTGTAAGTGATTTTAGTGGGTTGGATTCCTTCTTCTTCCATTTCTTTGAAAACTGAAATTGCCTCTCGGAATCTTCCGTTATTAGTGTACGCAGTTATTAATGAAGTGTAGGCGTATACATCGATGGTGAAATTGTCTTTTTGGAGGCTGCGAATCAACGAAGATGCAGCTGAAACCCGGTTGTCTTTACCGAGCATGGAGATGATTACAGCGACGACGGAGCCACGTAAAGGTTTTCCGGTGTCTTTATAGTGGGTTTTGACCCAATCGAAGACGTTTAAAGCTAAATCGAGTTTTTTGTAATGGATTAAACCTTGAATTAAACCCAAAATATCTAAGGATAATGATTTTGAAGTGTGTTCTGATTCGTTTTGTTCGTGGAAATCGACTAAATTAAGCAAATTTTGATTAAATTCGAAAGAATTGGAACCTGAATCGATTAGGGTTTGGAAGATTTGCTGACCTCGTGAAGATAGGTGAGAAGTCCAGGGTTTTCCTTTGTTTGGGTCGTTGTGTTTGCCGATACGACGTGTTGTTCTGGGGATTATCGGAGAAGGGGGTTTTGTGGTGGCGGAATTGGGTTGCAGGATGTCTTTTAGAAGGGGGGTTAATGGCTGAGGCGGTGGATTGTGGTGGTGGAGTTTTGGGGGATGGAAGTCTTGAGAGAAGGGTTTTGAGATTGGAGGACTTGGGAGGAGAAGAGGAAGAGCTAGCTTGTCAGCCATTGATGAACAGGTTGACAGAGGAAAACACCGGAAAAGATGACAGGTTTTCGATGGGGTTTATTCAAACGGCATACAGAAAATATCACAACAGGAAATGTTTTTGGGCGCAATCTACACCGAAAATATCTTTCCGGAGTCGGAAATTTAGTTAAAAAAAAAAGGTTTTTTTTTTTTTAATGAATCTTATTAAAAGAAAACTTTTTTTTTATTTCTTTTCTTGCTTCTTTTTCTGGTTTATAACTCACGCACAACACATGAAATCGGATTTGGTTTGCCAAGTGATTAACGATGAGAGAAACCCATTTCACATGAAATCAGATTTGGTCGATATCTATTTCTAATTTGGTCAATTTCTATGTCCGATTTCACCTGATTTTAGATCACCATTCCCACCATCAGCTTGTACAAAGACTAAAAAAAATCACCCATTTCCCCCTTTGATGGTGAAAGCTACAATGGTTCTGGAGCGGTATGATGGTGGGAATGGTGATGGTGTAAAAGACGATGAACAGGAAAGGGCTCGGAGATGGAAAGATAGGGTGGTGGAAGCTACAATGGTTCTAGAGCGGTATGATGGTGGTAATGGTGATGGTGTAAAAGACGATGAACAAGAAAGGGCTCGGAGATGGAGAGATAGGGTCTGATCTATTTTTTTTTTCTAAACTCACCAAAACAAAAATCTATGTAATCTAATATTACAGGAATACGATGGTGGTAGCTCGTCGAACCACAAATTTAGTTACACATAAGAGAAGACGAGGTTATCTAGTGGTTGGAATCAAACTAGAAGGATCTATAATCTATGGGACTGAAGTTGGACCTGCAATCGAAGAGTACAACGAACTAGCGAAAGCTTTGGAAGAATAAGAGCAATCTTTCATCTTCGTAATCCGACCTAGTAAATTTGGCATCCCTCGTATCTCACACATCGATTTCTTCCCCTTTACCGGCCACCGGAGCAGCTCCCTACAACAGCCCCTCTCGATTTCTTCCCCATTATCGGCTCACCCTTTTTTTCCTTCTCTTACGATTCCTCTTTCTCTCATTTATGTGTATTACCAGTCGAATGGGTGTTTGTGTATAACCTGTATGTAGATGATGTTTCTGGGTTGAAGGTGATATCATGGGTAAAACCCTAAGCAGTCGAATTGATTGTTGTTTATCGTCTCCTGTAACATAGCTAATGTTTCTTTGCAGCATCGATTTTGATAGCCACTAAACTGAGTCTTCTCAACATCCGTCGGAAATCAGTGGACCTCTTATCAATGGACCCGCACTCTACTGCTGAATCGATGTCGGATACATACCTTGATCTTGTGTGTGTGTGTATGTTCATAGTGAAAGTTGGTGAAGATGTATAAGTTTGTGGGTTAATCTAAGTTGCAGGAAAAATTGAGAATCAATTGTTGAGAATGGAGGAATCGGAGAAATCGATTGTTTGCAAGAAACAATTGGAATCTATGATGTTGGAATTTGACGTTTAAATGGATTATGAACGAGGTTTGGATCGGTGGTGGGTTTACACAGGAGAGAGAGGGAGAGAGAGAGAGAGAGAGAGAGAGAGAGAGAGAGAGAGAGAGAGATGTGGGCCCCAAATTAGTTAATTATTTTAATTTTCATTTAAATTAAATAGAAAAAAGCATAAAAAAATATATCAGAAGGGCATAATAGTAAGTTTACTGAGGGACCAAAAACGTAACGAAACTAGGTCAAAAGGACCATCAATCCAAAAAAATCGTGGTTTGGACTAAAATCCCAAAAAAATACATACAACAAGGACCATTTTTGCAATTTTGTCAAAGAAAAAAGAGAAAATTGTAAAGATAATTCTTGTGGTTTTCGGTTTTTTTACATTTTTTTTTTTGAAATTAGAGATATGGTTATTTTGTATAGTTAATTGTGGATTTGCTTTTCGTTGAAATTGAATTGGTTGTTTTATCCTAAATTTTTTATTTTATAATTTTAAATCTAAATGTTTATCATCAATAATAAATATATAAAGGTGTAACGTTTCAATTGTCAAGGTAAAATTTCATTTTCCAAGCCAAATCAAAACCATATTCGTTTACCAAACATTGTTCTCAAAAGTAGAAATCATATATCAAAGTGTCCCAAATAAATATCATCAAAATCAAGAGGATGTGCACGATCACATATTTGTTTTCCAATGATCATCTGAAGTACCTAAAACATAAAACTAAAACTATAAGCCAAAAATTAGTGAGTTCCCCCAAGGTCGCACCACACAAACACATAACAACATGCATATTGGTTCCACAACTAACAGACTAGATTACCCCGGAGTCTGCAACATGAATCTAGCTTGCCTTCAGGCCCACAAATTATGTTTGGCTTACTCCCGAGCCCACAACATAATTATGGCTTGCCTCTCGGTCCACAAATCATGTTTGGCTTACTCCCGAGCCCACAACATAATTATGGCTTGCCTTTCGATCCCACAACTTATGTTTGGCTTGCTCCCAGGTTTGTTGGCTTCCGCGCAATGCAGCATCGCCTCAAACCAATCATACTATGTCGACATATACATAACAGATAACATATATCCAGTAAACGGATAATCATATATTCAGTCAACAGACTCACAGGAAAATCTACAGATCACTATTGCATAACAACATCCTATATACTAGGACTCGATTCTAATATATCAATACAACATAGCAACATCCTTTAAACCAGGATGCATGATTCAATGGGTCGACATTGGTGTATTCGACCCACAGTACAATGAGGAAAACTCACCTCTTAGTCTGAAAGGATAGATGATCAACATGCTACTTTGAATACGAACTCTACCAATCACATTTACAACAACAGTGAACAAATCTTAATCCACGGATCAAAATACCCTTAGGTCAAACTTTGTCAAAGTCAATGGTCAAAAGTCAAACTCAAAGTCAACCTAGCTAGTCGCCACATCGTGGCTTCCTTGGCCATGGCATGGCCACAAACGGACAAATTAGGAGGGTCTTGACCACGTCATGATAACTTTAACCGTGTCGTGGTGATAGTTTGGCAGCTTAAACCATTAATTAATTTCCATCAACTACAAGAGCTCCAATGCTCAGACTTGGTCCTTCCTAAGGTCATGATGAGCAAAGTTTCCAACTTTATCCCTCAAACCCATCAATAAACCAAAGCCCCAAACATAACCTCTAACGTTGACTTAATTCATCAAGACTCATATTAAGCACCCAATCCTTAGATTTGCACTTTGAAAGTTTCCAGAAGAATTTCATAATTCTAAGGGACCTTAAAAGTTGTGGCTTTATGGACTTGCATGTCCAATGCATGCCTTTTCCGTTTTAGGTTAAAAATAGGGTTTAATGACCAAGACCCTATGCATGACATCAAAACTCGATTATAATTTAGATCCAAGACACTAAATGCCCTATTTGACCTAGAGATTCATAAAGTTGCAAACTTTATGATATCTCATTAATTAAATCCATCAAAACATGGAAAAAGGGGACAAAATCCAAATATCTAGCAACATGGTAAGAAAAATATTGAATCTTGGACACTCACCAGGGTTCAGGAGATATGCTAGCTGAAGAAATGATGCTTTCTAAGTAACCACCACACCAAGAGCTTCCTTCTCCTTCAAAAATCACCAAAAAGCACCAAGAATGAGATCCCAACTTCAATGGAGGCTAAGGCTAGGGTTTCTGATATTAGGAGGAAGATGGAGACTGAAACCCTAGCCTTAATGTTCTTTATATGGGGTCCAAAGCCTGAAATTAGGGTTTTCACTAAAACATCTGCCACGCCGTGATGCCCCAAGGCCACGTCGTGGTGGGTCATTTAAATCCCGAGATCCAACTTGATATTTTTGGGATGTTACAAGTTGGTATCAGAGCCTTGGTTTGAGGAATTTGAGCACACTCTCGGGTGTGTCTGAACTCAAATTGGATTTGGTAATCTTTTTGAAAAAAGAAATAAATTTTTTAAAAATATTTCTATAAAGAAAAAAGGATGTGATACGTGCAATCATCCGAGCTCAAGTAAATGATTCTTAAAATACCCATACCTAAGTATATGACTAGTATGCTTGTTATGTGAATTGCATGCTATAGTAGGGTTAAGGATACCTTCAGGAATTGCATGATATAATAGCCTGATTTGTGATGCCTTGTAGCCTAGAAGGAATTAGATGCTATGTTAGATTTGGAATCTATGTTGGTGGAATTGATTGGTAAGTGTATGTTTAAAAATTAGATACGGTCAGGATCATATAGCCATAGAATGACTAATTTAGTCTTATTTCCTATTCCTCGTCTACTTGTGGTCTTAGGGTAGAATCATTTATTCGACAGTCTATTTGATACCGTATTGTGTATAATTTGCATGTATAAGGCAACCAGAAGTGTTGGTAGAAGTTCCTACCATCGCAGAAGCAAGTTAGTCGGAGGGTGCCTTTTATGTTTTGTGGCCTATAGAGTGTTACTTCACGAATGTTGCTTGCTCTATGCTTTGTGGGAATCTTATTGGTGTGGGTTAACTATTAAATGAATATCTTAAGTTACATGTTGCGAAAGTTAAATAATCTTAGAGTGATTAATTTGGCCCTATTGCGCAACTCTTATCTGAGTCCAACCGTTGTAGGGTTGGGACTTTTGGTCAAAAGATTATTTAAGTTTTGTTGCATGTAATTGTATTCACGAAGTAGTTAGTTGACATTAGAAGGATTCCTTTAGCAGCTGATGGCAGGGTGAAGTGGGGATCCTAGGAGAGCCTAGGAAGTGCCTTAGAGGAATTGGTGCGTTGTTTAGCGGTGTGTATTCATTTAAGAGTGGGTATATATGATTGGATCTGATGGTAGTGGACATGAGTAATTACTTAGAGGATCCAAAACGATTCTTGAGGAGAGTATGAATAGGTGTGGAAGTTAGTATTGGGTCCATACTACTGAAAGCACAAGATCCGTACTCGATTCAAGGAAAATTTTGGGGATTCTAAGGAGCTAATTGAGGTAGATG